TTCCACTCACCTTTTTTAAAGGTGTCACAGAAGCAAGTTTCCAGTCTGCGCTGGGTTCTCATTTTTTTTGTTTTTGTTTGTTTGTTTGTTTGTTTGTTTTTTGAGGAAAGCAGGAAGTCCGACACAGAGACTCTGTCAAAAGCTCTCGCAGTTTCGTTTCAGGAGTTTAAGGAAAGGAACAGAAACACACTTAAGACACCACGTCACAGAAACCCACACACACCCAAAGAAGTGACTCTTGACCTTCGTAACATTAAGAGCAAAATACAACTGAAATATTTAAAACGAGAGGTTTGTTTAGTCACATTTTACATTTACAAAGCAACAAAATCCTGACTTTAAGTAATTTGATTACATCTAAATTACATGTTACAAAACATGGCAGCATAATCTGCAGGAGAATACCATCAAAGTGATGTAACTGTAATAACTGTAGTATAACTAAGAAGTAACTGAAATGAAAGCGAGGAGAAGCCAAAGTTGCAAACTTTTTTTCTTGTTGTTAAAGTTATGGCCCTCTCATTCAAGCCCATTCATTTAGACTGGAGCTTCAAATTAGCTTTGCTGCTACATGTTACCATGGCTGCTTTAATTTTGGGGGGGTTTAAATTTAAAATCTACATGTCTCCAATCATTTCATAAACCGAGCAGGTTTTTGTTTTCTTTGTTCTTTTTTCCCAGGATTGTAAAACAGACTCCGTATCATCCATGTCATCACTGCTTGAATCCTAAAATATTCCAAACTAAATGCAGCACGGACCTAGATTTGAATGACAGTTGTGATAAGCCTTATCTCTGCCGACCTGAAAACAACACTGCCTGTCACAGATGACTCTTTGAAGGCTTCCTGTCTGAATTAGAAACAGCATTTTCAGTTTGGGCAGCAGTTTGTTATCTGCAGGAGGTTTAGGGGAAATTTTCCCTCTTTTTTTTTTTTCACTCTGTGCTTTGTGTCTGTTTCCTTCCAACAGGAAATGAGGTCTACACCGGAAAATGAGTAACAGTTTCTCCAGTCCAGTCTAGCTTAGTCTCAGGCTCAGTTTTAAGTTTCATAATTTATGTTTCATTTACATCTCGTCCTTCCTCTTCTCCTTTTCACGCTCCCTCCAGAGTCACAGCCTCTCACTCTGTCTCTTTCCAGCTGATTGACACTTTTGCGTTAGAGATCGGAGAGCTGAAGAAGGAGATGGTTCAGGTCTCTCATGCTGTGGACAAGGATCCTGTGGAGCTACAAGGGTGAGACTGTTTTCTATACGCGATCAAGTATTTTATTCCAGACTTTATGACACAGATATTTCTGTTTTCATGTGCTTATTGGAGTTTATTATAAATTTGTAATTAGACGGTGTGGTCTGGAGGACTTAAACAGTCTGAAAAATGTTTATTTTCTTTTTATATACTAGGAGACAATCTCGGCATTGACTTATTTTATTAATTCTAAGTTATTTTTT